TTGCACATAAAGTTAGCAAAGTTCCAGGTCTACAGGGCTTTATATAGGGGGAAATATCAGACCAAATAGTCTACTCTTCTATTTTAAGATGTTTGAGACATTGACTGTCATGACACACTGGAATATTACTGTTCTCTGATCATCTCTCATATATGAAATAAAATCAACTATGAATTTTGAAGGTTGAAGAAAGTTTCACTTCTCAAAAATTGCATGACACTTTTTATACTTCTTTACTCCAATTTTCTCTGCTGTATAAATTAGAAAGTTTCATACTTCACACTTTCCAGCTTCTTTTCTATAGTCATTTGAGAGGGAGTCTTTCTTTAACTCAGACTTGATTATATGACTAAGTACCCTGGTGATGATTAGCAGTAAAAATTCACTTTCCCAAAGATTCAAACAAAAGAAAATGGTCTTAGTGGGCATATTTATGCTGATATTTTAAAGAGTGATTCAAAGATTTAAAATCATATCTATTTTTATCCTAAAATGTAATTGTTTAGGAATTTAAAATTACTTCCTTGGTATTTCTTCTGGCTCATTTTAAAAATTCTTTTCCTTTTCATTTCCAGCTATAAATGCTTACTCTCTTTGTTCTAAAATTCCATAGTAATTTTGCTATCTTGAGACTTTCATTTATGCTTGTCAACTCAAATTATATACTTTTAAGAGATTTTGTCTGTTTCATGAATATATAAAGCTATCTAATTTTGCTGTCTTCATCTTCAAGAAAAAATAGATTAAAAACATAATGTGAGATTTTTGCATAGATATGTATCCAAAGCAAGAGATTAAGTATTACTAATAAATGTAAATTAAAAAGATGCAAAATAAGTGAAAAACATACAAGAAATAGTAAAGCACTCCCCAAAATGGGAAAAAATGGAAAATAACTTGAAAAATGAAAGAGCATATAATACCACAATTTGATTTGAGTATTTTTAAAAGGAAAGAAGATGACCATCAAAACAGATGGCCAACGTGTATGAATGTGACATGTTAATACATATTTTTAAAGTTTAGGTCAAGATGTCAAAATGGAAGAATAGGCTATTTGGTCTGATTTTTTTTTTTTTTTTAACATACACAGCCCTGAAACATTTTACCAAGACACAAATATTTTAAGCAATTTCTCTTGTGTAACTAACATTAAAAAAAGGACAACATCAGATAAGTGTTCACAGAAGATTTAATATTAAAATCAAACTTACGTNAAAAAAAGAACAAAAGTATACGTACAAAACAAAGAGAGGACCAAAAATGTACCTTTCTTGAACGTATTTGAATAGCTCTCTTTAAACTCAAATTGCTTTAATAAAATCAGTTCCAAAGTTTATTATGCAAAAACCTATTAGGAAGGCATATATCTTAAATGTGCAGTTTTATACCAAGCAGAGTTATCAAAAAGCTTGAATTCTTTCTAACGTTGTACATGTGTATGTGTATCTTCATATACATCTGCATTCTGTTCCTTTCTGTGTGCACACACATGGCATTACCTATAGAGGGATAAAGATATCGACCCTCCTTTGGTTGTGGTCTTTCTTCCACTTAGAAGTTCCACAAATAAAAGAGAAATATTTGCACATAAAGTTAGCAAAGTTCCAGGTCTACAGGGCTTTATATAGGGGGAAATATCAGA